CCTCTGGCTTCTGGCAAGATTTCGCTACTCGAGTACTCGAGCACTCTCACGGGTAGTGGTGAGATTTCACTCCCACACACAGAATTCTATTCTGTGCTCCCACACCACCCTGACCGTCTACATCGCTCAGGGCTCACATGATGGGGTATCATCTAGTCCTGTGGGACTGAGAAAGCCTAGGGTATCATCAACTGGCGCAAATGCGGGTGACGGATCGCAAGGATGTGGTAATGTAGATCAAGAGCACTGACTGGCGACTGGTTTAGAACAGTTAGAAGAAAAAAAAACCCGGAAAGGGAGGGGGGGGGGCAGGGTTAGGTGGAGCGCTCGCACCAATTGATTGAACCAAAGGCGCCCCGCCACTGGATCATCTACCCTCAAATTGCACCCTTACTCCCCTTCCTCGCCCAGCGGCATGGCCATGGCGCTAGACGGTCAGAGAACGTATAGCCATGGCGTTACGTTTAGAGCAGGTGGAACCAAACTTGCGAGTTTTGCAGGACTGAGCGGCCAAAGCATTTTCCGTCTTAGACAGGTGAAACCCTCGGAAGGGAGCGGATTTTTCTTTCCATTTCCACGTTGGACAGGTTTCCATTTTATACATGTAATTAAAGAGGAATATATCAAGGGGCAGAGGCGGGGCGTAGTGAGAGGCTAAAGGGCTTGAGCCCCACCAAGGAGATTTAAAGTAATGGAGGATGCTCTGTGGGCGGCACCTGATAGGAGCCCTCTCTCGCGGCGGAACTGTGGGTTACCTGCACTGCGCGAAAGCCCGACTCACGCACTGAAACCTTGATAAGAAAGAAGGTTTTATTCCGAGGTCCTTGAGATTAGGCAAGTCAATTAGTAAAAATGCCTTGCGCCTGTGTTGTATTTTAAGTGTAAGAACCGATATGATGCTGCAGTGGACCGAAGTTTACACAGTTAAGTTGTTTTCCTTTTAAAAAATGTGAATGAAAGTGTTTTTATGCCCCCAGCAACACAATTTAGATCATTAATATTTATTAGAGACTGGCTCCGGCGCTACATGCCAAGGCCAACCCAGGCTGAAAGGGATACAACACCCCAGCAGAAAGACCGAGATACTCAATTTTTTAAAAGTATTCTTATTCATAAATATATCTAATTATTATGTGTATATATATATATATATATATATATAATTATTATGTGTGTGTATGTATATATATATACATATACATTTTAATTATAGATATTGCTTTCCTTTGTGTGTGCAAATTAGATGCTACTGTAGTCTAAATGTTGTTATCTTGAGGCTCCATTAGAATATGAAATCAATACTCAACAACAATAATGATGAATATTTTCTATGTTAAAGAAACACCAAACCATATCAGATGAGGGGAGAGGGTAGGGTGGGGTGGATAAGAGTTTGAGTCTTGATAGATAGAACTATACTCGGTTTAATTCTATTGTTGTAGTTTTCACCTAAGATCCCACAATCAATAATTCCGGTTCACTTAAGATTCTGCTGTTAAAAAATAAACCAAACAAAGCAACAACAAATTTTACTACACAAGAGTCATCACTAAGGTAAATTTTCCCCCTCTGGAGTGTAATAAGGGACTAAAAACGCTCCTCTCCATATCATACTTTACTGAACAAAACAAAAACAAACCTTCAAAGGTCATGCACGCTCATGCATATGATCACACCTTCAAAGGTGCTGTTATCTCTTTTTTTTAAAAATATTTGAAATCATTGTGCGCTCCACTTTGTGAAAACCTGGAAGCAAAATTATTGTAATCAATAATATTATTATCTATAGACCAAGACATACTTTTAGCAATCAGATAAAGCTGGCATCGACCCTCTTTTGTGTCCGCTATTCCTTACACATAAAGTTAGTTATGGCACACGCCTAGAATCATGCAATCATATAATATCTTAAATTCAGTTTAAAAGTATAGTTTTATCCATTTCTTGTAATTAAATATTTTAGCATCTTGAAAGATTATCTTTATAATGTGGTATGTTTGATAATTTTATGTTACTCGTACAAGTTTTCTTCTTATTTTACACATCTTTTTGATTTTTAAACTAGATTATAACATAAAACTCTTAAAGAATTGAACAGTCCGTATTACACACATAATTTTTTTCTCTCCCTGTCATTATCCGTCAGCCCGTCAGTTGATCACAATCTCTCTCTCTCTCTCTCTCTCTCTCTCTCTCTCTCTCTCTCTCTATCTGTCTGTCTGTCTGTCTGTCTGTCTGTCTGTCTGTCTGTCTGTCTGTCTGTCTGTCTGTCTGTCTGTCTGTCTGTCTGTCTGTCTGTCTGTCTGTCTGTCTGTCTGTCTGTCTGTCTGTCTGTCTCTCTCACTCTCTCTCTCTTATTTAATTTTTCTCAGCCCCCATCCCCTCTTCCTTGCGTGCATTCCCCCCACCCCCGCCCACCCCCCACAAGGTGGCCCAGCCCCATAAGATTCAATAAAAAGAAACGCCACAGTTTGTGATTTAGCCCACAGTCCGCCGCCATAATTATTTGATCCCCACCGCGGCGTACTGCTCGTGGCGCCGCGAAGAGAGAGAGGAGGCTCCATTAGTTCTAAACTCCTTGAGCCCCACCCACTCCCATCCCCACCCCTCAACCGTTTCCCTCCGTAAAAGAATGTTTATTCTAATAAACGAGATAAGTGGTTGAAACCGTTAGAACTGCTTCAGCTTCCGCCACCGCCTTTCCTTTAGTTGCATGCGGTGAACAAACACGCTTGCTCATTTATCCAATCACTGTAGTCACCACTTACAACGATGTTAACCTAACAGTAAATCAAATGTGTTTAGAGCTCAGCAAAGGATGAGCCACAGAATTCTACACATTCTTAATGAAACTCTTCTTGAAAAAAAAAGGTTAGGCCTAAAGAAACAAACGAGAGCCCGCCGAAACTGTTGCCAGAGAGGGCTCCTTCTCTGCCAGCCCAGACAATGAGGGGAAAGTTCATGACACATTTTCTCCAGAGACCCAGTAACCAAAACACGCTCGCGGGCCCACGTTTTAGGAATGCCTTGCTTTCTGCTACCCCACGGCCTAACCCTGTTTAATTAGTTAATTATTATTATTATTTTAAAATAAGTGTTTTGCAGCGCTGGCAACTGTATAAGGTCAAATGAGCGCGTTTGTGTGTGAGTGTGTGAATGAAACATACTCCACATAATAATTATCTCTAATATGTCCTCTGAACCAAAGAAATCTTACCTTAGAACTCTACCTACCCTGATTTATCATCCCCACCCACATTTAGAACGTTTCCGTTTTATACAGGTTTCTGGGCAGGTTCGACTGCCTTAGCTAAAAGAGTGATGACGTATAGATTTTGCAGGAGGAAGAGAAGACTCGGTAGTCGGTAGCTGGCATTATAAAGAGTCAAGTGAAGGAAAGAATAGCAAGCAAATTGCAACACGGTAGTTCGAACTCGCAGGAGATAGCAAGGACAGGAGGGGGGAGGAGGAGGAATCAGGCAATCATGAAAGGCATCATGTAAACACGTTTTATTATAATTTAAGCTGCTGCAAAAAATAGTCTTGTGTACTAGAATCTAGATCTAGATATCTAGATCTATCGGTACCAAAAAAAAAATGGGAGTGCTGATTTTTCCCTACTTGACGATTGAGTAGCCTATGTCAACCAAAGTTTTGTTTTTCATTTTCAGCTAAATCTGTTTCTTTACTCAATAGCCTAGATAAATAAAAATTGGTTTCAACTTTTCTAAAGTAATTAATGTTGGGTGAGAGGATGGGGCAAGCTGTCTATCACATGACTAGTCTCACGTGATATTGATTGATCACATGATATTTTAGTAGGGCCTACAATGTATTGAATTGAAGTAGGCAAACGCTAGTTGACAACACTTTGAAATTGATTTGTCGATGGTTGGTTTTGAGAGAAATTCGACACATTTTCAGTGCATGTGCTACTAGAATCTAGATCTACAACTATGGGAACAGCCGGGGCAGTATTGTTTCTGGTATTGTCATGCTTAACAGTGCAGTGTTTTTCCAAGTATGAACCAAACTGGAAGTCTTTAGATTCTCGTCCTCTTCCAGGTGAAACAAACTTACTATACTCAGACTTATTTAGATCTAATAATGTCGAATAGGGGGAGGAATTCCGTCGAAAGGCCTTATCTCTATTAAATTAACTTTTATTAAGTACTAGATCTAAATCTACGTTACATTTTTGGATATCATGTGCATTTACCATTTTGAATAACTTATTATAGGCTACTTATAAGGGCGGGACTTCGGACCATCATAACGATCATAGACAGTGACAGAGTGTAAAACAGGAGGGGGGGGGGGGGGGGGGGGTAGGGGTAGGGTTTAGCTTAGCTTTGGGGTAGGGTTAGGGTTTGAGGTAGGGTTAAGATTAGGTGTCTTCTTTATTGTGTTTGTTGGGGGTGGTTGCTCGTTACGAAACCTTGAATAATATCTAGATCTATAGGCCTAATAATTACGACTTTTCGAAGTGACTATTTCTCAGAATGTACGTGAAATTAAAGTTGAAAATTTTTTTCTCCGAACGGTTTCCGATCTCGAGATTTTTGGGTTATTTACGAGATTTAGGCGTCATCCTTTCGTTCTGCCACTTTGCAAGGACTGGAAAGAAGCGTTAAATATATGTATCAAATTCAATTTCTAGAGCTAGAGATTTTTAAACTTCTGAATATTCAGATACTTCAGTTGTGGTTGGGGCAACGTTCCCGGACTATACGGTAAATTTTTACTAATGCACCCACACATAGAGATACACGTTGATTTGAGGGCTACTGCCACAATTTTTGCTGTAGAACACTCGTATGGCCATACTAAAACCCTTGCAAATCAATTGTTTTCAAGTAAATATCAATCCTAATTGCCAAAAGATGAAATCATTGCGAAATGCAGGAGGGCATGCCCCCCTGAAACCCCCCAGATTCCTTTTAGGCCAGGGGGGCATGCCCCCCTGAAACCCCCCATATTGTTAGATTGACTATTTTCAA